AAAATATTAAAACTTGTTGATATTTATTAAGAATGTAAAATTATTTAATCAATTTTATAATTGAAAAGACGATAGTTTGAGATACTAACAAAATAAAAAGAACGAAAAAGACTAAATTACATCATTACAGCTTCTCTGTGTTCATTAAACAATCTTTCGAAAGTTTTACAGCTTTGGAGTTTGATTTGATACACCTTAGACCCAAAGAAATTTAAAGCGTCTTTAAATTCTGGGAAAGTTGTTATATTGAATGTGGGTTTAATTTTAATAGTTTAAAATTACTTTCAACGTTTTTAATTCCCAAAGTTTGTATCCATTCGGGAAATATCCCAATGACACTCTGAATGACATAATAAACATACACCTCCATTGAGTTCTTTGCAGTCTCAAGTCTTCCTTTAATCGTAATTAAATCGCGTTTTCAAGTTTTTGTTATCGAGTGGAAGTGACACCAAAAGGAGTAATATTTTATTTTCAAATTGTATCTTGGGCTCATACATATGTTAGTTGGCAACAACATAGAAGTTGACTTCAGTCTCATTTCCACCTTCTCTTTCACAAATTCGCCAAACTTGTCTCTTATACAAGAGAAGAGCATAGTGTTTGAATTCCCACCAAACTGCTTGGCAACTTTTTGAACAGAGTCTACAGAAGACATCTTTCCCCCAAACACACTGTTGTTATTTTCCACTCAACTTCTTCTTCAAACACTTCATGCTATCGTTATGTGCAAAGAATACTCCTGACATGTAGGTGGGAATGAGCGAAATTTGTTTCACTCTGGTTTAATTCCCTTTTGGTTGTTTGCTCAATGCCAATACGGCAAGTTTGGCAATTTCCTTGTTGATTTTCAAGAAGTAGTACTTTGATTCGTTGTAATTTAACCCGAGATTTGACGCTTTCCCAACTTCTAACATTATTCTGACTGCTGTGAGTCCATCAACCAGACATTGGGATATCTTGACAACCAACTGGTTGCTACATTTGGACTCGGGACTGGGGGACTGGGGGACTGGGGGATTCGGGGGTTGGGGGACACGGACTCGGGGGTCTTTTGCCGACTTGAATCCAAGCCGGCATCTGTTTGATTATACATTGTTATATGGTATAATATTATATGTTGTAAAATAAAGAAGAAAAAACAACCTTGCATTTCATTGTGATTGAATATGAAATTTGTGCTTAAATATAAAATTGTTCGTTATTTTTTTAATCATTGTGTTTCTTTACGATAAAAAAATACGATAAATTATTAATACAACGTTGAAATACAAACACATTGGATCTTTTATGCATTTTTGACTTTTTATGGTTTATTATGCATTGAATTCACACAAATTGTCTGTGTTTTATATTCAAAAACTAACTCCAAACAACATTTAATTATAATCGTACTTTCAATTTTTTTCAAATTTACAAACAATGTCATAATGTATAGTTTTTGTAATTATTAATTGTTATTTAACTGTTTAAATAACAGTCAAATTTTTTATTAAAAATACAAATAAAAGTGTTTATTTAAAATAAAACACGATGTTGATTTTGTGATTTAATTAATTAAAGTATGTTTAACTATAATTAAAGTGTTTACTATTATATTTATCGATTTAAAAAAGCATTTTTATATTAACATTGAAATGAAGTTTTGTTGTTTTTTTTTCAATTAATATTTAACTGGTATTTAAAAAATTAGAAACATTAAAATATTATATAAAATTCTTATTATTAATATCATTTATTCTCAACTAACAAAATAATAATTTGAATTAATTTTTTAACTATTTTTCATTTGTTTTAAAGCATTTGTTCTTTATAAAAACAGTATGACAAATAATAACTTTTTTATTAATTCAAAATAACATTTAAGAAACAACAGGAACAACAAAACAAATGTCCGGATTATATCTCTATATATAAATCCAAATTTTGAGTTATTATTACATCACATTTAAGTTTATTGGGGTAAATTGACAAACATAAAACATATTTTGTTGTTGAAAAGTTTTAACATTTGAATATTAAAATTTTGGTTGAAGTAATTAATTGACATAATAAAGTAATCACCACACTAACGTACGACAATAAAGAAACAATTTGTATAAATTGAAAATTTTTTAAAAATGAATTTATTTTTAAATTATAATTCTCAAAATATTACTTTTAAATTAAATTTCAACCAATCTCATTGTTAATTAAAATTCTTGTTTACAACAAATTTGATTCTTAGCTTATTTAAAAAAATCAATTAAACTTTCTATAAGTTGACTTTAACCCAAAAAGGTGGTTTATAACATTATTTGAATTAAAAAAATGTTTTTGAATTTATTTGTTGAGGCGGTTGTGATATACATGTATCATTTTTCTTTTTAAAAAAAACTTTAACAATTAATTTGATTCATGTAATTAACTTATAGTAATACAAACGTTTTTTTAATTCGAAGTTTAAAAAAAACAATAACTCGATTCACAATGATAATATCAAACAAAAACAACAAGAATAAACATCATTTTCTTACATGGAACTTATTTAACATAAAAATAAAAAACCCATGATTGTATATTTTTCTATATACAAAACAACAATTGTAATTACTTACATTGTTATGATCTTAGTAATTTATGTTTTTCACCGAGTATGCAAAACAAATAATCGTTAGTGACTGTGTAAATACAGTAACAACTGATTATTAATAAATTACTTATCCGCAACGAGTAATCAGTATTAGAAATAGAAAAATTATACTACATTTAGTTTTTAATGATCTCTATATGAAGTAAGTGACAACAAAATGTTTTGATTATATTTTATTTTAATTGGGTAACATCTTCATAAATCACCAATAAGTCGAAAATATAAAAATAATTAATGTTATAATTAACAAACAACTCTTTAAATCATATTTTAAAACTGCTTAAACATAGAAAAGTTGTTGTTTTTGTGTTTTTAAACAAATTCTAATGTTTAATTTTTGTTGTTACAATTCAAAATCATATTACAAAATTACATTATAATTATAATGTGTTGTACAAAATATTAGTAGAATTAAAAACAGGAAATCTGGAGTTTATATAACATTTTTTATTTTAGTTTTTTTAAAGTTTATTATCAATATAAAATTTTAAATATTTTTCAAAATTCCATTTTTTAAAATTTAAAAATAATTTTATTTATTCTTGTATTCTTTTAATTTTTTATCTAAAATTGTTATATTTTATCTATCAATTATATTTATCACCAATAAACTCATTTATATACAAAAATCACTCACTTTAAAGAGAAAGATTACAAATTATTATTACAATAATTTAACAAGTGGTTTTAAAATACGCTTATAAACTTACTTTTATATTTATCATATATATTTATTAAAAAGAAATAATTATTTATTATTATACATATATATTTAGTTAAATTAATTATATTGACTTGTTATTAATTTAATTTAACTGTATAAAGTGGTATATAATTACCAAATTACAAAATCTTGCATTTAAGTAAAATCATTGCCCATGAGGTGTAAGGGTGTGAAAAGCCGGCTTTATGATAGTCATTTTATTTTACCCACTATATCGCTTTTTTAATTTTATCACTTTCGCTATTATTTCAACTTATTATTGAAAAAATAAATGAAAAAAAATATTTTTTCATTTATTTTATTTTTAAATAAAAAATGAACAAATAAGTAACAACTAAATTTTAGTTATAATTTGGTGGTCAATAAGAAAAATGGATTGTCGCTTTGTTTGGAAGCACTTTTGCCTTTAGTGGACTCGCAGAACGATGATATGAAAAACATGGTGTTGTGATGTATTTTTGAAGGTCGTAGTCAATGTGGACGACGCATTCATCACAAAAATAACACAGAAGTTGACTTAATAAATCTAAATGAAAAAGATGATGAACCAAACACAAATTATGTTAGACTCCTTGTCGTGCTTTTGTATGTGGGTTCGCAAAAAAATAGCGTTCTTTGTGAGAGATATATCGTACGTTATCATGACAAATTTTGCATTTTTATAGCGACTTTTGATAAGAAAAAGATTTAGACGATGGCGTATATGTGTTAGAAATTGAAGAAAACAACGACGAGTTAACGTCAATTTTTAAAGCGACTGTTTCTGGTTTGTTTATAATGAGACATTGTTTATATGTGATACTACTTAACGATAATTATGTCTTTTTAGTATTTTAACTCCAATTGTGAATTGCTAATAAATGAGACTTAGAATCAAAAAGCAATATACAATTACATTACTCAAATATTTGTTTGTTTATCGGGTTTTTTCGTGTGTATTACAATACACATTTTCCCTCTTTTTTGTATAAGTGAAATTATTGTTTAAAACGTATTTTTTTTAAAAAAAATAAATGTTTTTAAAGTGTTAACGATATATTATTTTATTTTTATGATTTAAAATATATGAACTTATTGAATGAATGTTAATAGTTATAAATTGCCCTTTTTTGTTTTTTCGGATTATTAAAATATAAATCAATTTAAATTGATGATAACAAAATTTAAACAAAATGCACTAACCGGGACTCGAACCCGGATCTCCACCTTGGGAGGGTGAAATTCTGCCCTTAGACCATTAGTGCTTTACATTATATCTACTAAATTATATTGTTTATCATTTTTGTGGAAACAAATGGAACAAACCAATAAAAAAAATTATAACCCTATTTCAAACATGTAATTTTATTTTATCAATTAATTCATATTTATTTTCGATTTAAAAAACGGATAAAATTACTCAAAATTAAGTGTTTATATTCATTTTTTTTAATCAAAAAGGATTATTGTGTTATAAAATTTTATTTTTTGTAATATTAGTTGAGTACAAAACATATGTATTCCATAATTATATAACTTTTATTCTTAAAATATTTATTTTTTATTAAATAACAAAATAAATGGGAAATGTTTTTATTCGGATTTTTGAAATTTTGTATACATTTTAAAGTTATTTCGACCAAAAGTTTACAAATACCAAAAAAAACAAAAGTTGATATAATTATTGGGACACTTTATAATATCATTCTTTAACTTTTTTAATAAATATTGAAACATATTCAAATTTAACCATTATAATATAAATATTTCAGATAATATATTATTGAAAAAGACCACACATAAATTACAAAAAAAATCTGTATTTCATAACCAATTGATTTATATTAAATATATAATGATACCAAATAAAAATAGAATAAAATAATTTTAATGTGAAAAGTTATAAATCGCGACAGAGTTATTGCAACATCTGGTCATTGGTGATCGTATGTTGAAACAATTGATGTCTATTTAAATAACCAAACCACACAACTGAACATCAAGACATGCCAGTGACATACACTACCAATGTTGCAGAAGTGAAACAAGCAATTGCAAACAACAAGAACGTTCTTGTCATCTTCTACTCTCCCGAGTGTGCAAAGTGCAAGGCAAGTGCGCCAATAATGGATAAACTTGCTGACGAACACACAAACCTCAAGTTCTTCAAAGTTGATGCGACCACAGCAACTGATTATGCTGCTGAATACTCAATTGCATCACTTCCCATTTGTCTTTTTCCAAAATAAGAAAGTTGTGAAAAAGGCGCCTGGAAGTTCTGAAGTACTTGAGGAGATTCTCAAAATGGTGCAGTAACTAATTCACTGCCTTTTCATTTTTTTGTTGACAACATTATAAATGTGGTTTTTGTTTTCAAATAAAAGTATTGTTGTATTTATACCAATTGTCAAGACTCAAAGTTTGGATTGAGTCTTGACATAAGGATTGTGTTGACGTGTTATGTTGTATAAAAATGAACTCTGCCAAAACAGTCATCAGCAAGCATGGTGTTCCACTTGGAAATGTTTGAAAATGTTGCAACAAAACACAACACGCCTTCACACAACAAGGCAGTCAAAACAGTCACATACATCACACTGAACAAGCAAGACGATAAGAAACTGAAATTGTGGGCTTATCAAAATCTCAAGAACAAGAAACCAAAAGGTAAGAATTCAACACACGTTGAAATACGCTCACAATTTGCTCTCATTTGATTGTCATTCAATTGATTTGATTTGATTGTTTTATTTTAACAATTTAAATTCTTCAAAAATATACTATTAATTATAATTTATAATATAAAATTGAAATACACAAAAAATAGTCAGACAGACTTCAGTGCCTCTCATCTCAGAGTGTTGTGCACGCACTCAACCCCTCAACAAGCAGTTCATCGTGCATTGCTGCGTATCTCCCTTTGGCACTGAAGTGATGAAAGTCTTCATCCTATTTTGTGAATTCTATTTGTTAAATAGAAAGTGACATACTCTAAGAATGATCCTAGTCGTACGGTCTAATTCC